AAAAGTGATCCTCTTGCCTTAGTTTTTCTGTTTTTAGTACAGATGGGGTCTGACTCTTGCTTAGGCTGGTCTTGAATTTGTGAGCTCACAGCAATTCACCGAACTAGGCTTCCCAGAGTGCTAGGATTACAGGTGTGAGCCACCTCGCCTGGCCTATTTATTTTGTTTTGTTTTTTGTTTTTTTTGCACATTAATCTCAGGGTAAACATTACATCACATCATTTGCATTTGTTAGGCAAAGTTCAATTTGTAGTTGTGCCCTTCACCCAGGGGCTGTGCTGTATACCCTTCCATTGTGCCTGTAGATGAGAGTTTACCAATACCCCTCCCCTTTCTTTCCTCTTCCCCCCCTCCCGACTTGAATTTAATTATGTTTTTTATCTCATGTGGGAGTGTAGTTGTTTTCTCTTGGTCTCATATTAGTATAGAGTACATTAGATACCTGCTTTTCCATTATTTATGATACTTTATTAAAGAAGAATGTTCTTCAACTCCATCCAGGTAAATACAAAAGATGTAAAGTCACCATCTTTTTTATGGCTGAATAGCATTCCATGGTATACTACACCACAGTTTGTTAATCCATTCATGGGTACTTGGGTGGATTCCATGTCTTAGGGATAATCATTCTACCATAAAGGCATTTGCACTAATTTGGCATTTATTTTACACACAATATCTCTGTGTGAAAAAGAAAGAAAACGAAAAGGGGAAATACATATGGTTAGAAACATACCCAAGTAGCAGGGAAGGGGGACCTGGGTGATTAGTCTGGTTCAATACATTTAAGGTGAGGCCGGGGAGCCCATTTAAAAACTAACCCCTTTAAAGAATACAGTCCAGCGGTTTGGCATATACACAGAGTTGGCAGCCATCATCACTAATTCCAGAACATTTTCAATACCCCAAAGGAAGCCCTATACCCATTAAGCAATCACCCCCCATTTCCCCTACCCAAAGCCCCCGGCAGTCACCAGCCTGCTATCTATTTTTGTGGCTTTACCTGGATTAGATATCTCATGTAAATGGAATCGTATAATATAGATCTTCTTTGATTGCCTTCTTTTACTTAGGGTGATTATTTCAGGGTTCACCCAGGTTGTAGCACGTGTGCATGTATTTAGCTTCCATGTAGACGCTGAAGAACCACCAGGCTGTTTTCCAAGTGGCTGCACCATGTTATATTATGGTTTGAGGGTGAGGGCCTGAGAACCTATATTTTTAGCAAGGACCCTGGGGATTCTTACAATAGAGCAGTTTTCTTATTTTTTGCTTTTCTTTAAGACAGGACCTTGCTCTGTCTCCCAGGCTAGAGTGCAGTGGCATCATCATAGTTCACTGCAACTTCAAACTCCTGGGCTTAAGCCATCCTCCTTCCTCAGCCTCCTGAGCAGCTGGGTCTATAGGCACACACCACTATACCTGACTAATTTTTCTGTTTTTTGTAGAAATGGGGTCTTGTTCTTCCTCAGGCTGGTGTTAAAACTCATGGCTTCCAGTGATTCTCCCACCTCAGCCTCCCAGAGTTATGATTACAGGTGTGCCCTACCGTGCCCAGCCAGTGGAGCAGTTTTGTAAAACACTACCTCTACAAGTAGAGTAGCGCAGTCCCTCTTACTGTGAATACAGGGGTGGTGGCTGTGCTTGCTCTCTGCCCAGTACTCAGCAGTGCTGTAGGACATTTCAATTATAGCATGGAAAGCAACAGCCATAGGCTGCATGGAAGAGGAGTTGCTGTCCCCAAAAAGCATAGTCTCAAGTACAATAGGTTGGGGTCAGCCCAGGCCTGAGTGTTTTTTTGGTTTTGATTTTTTTTTTTTTTTTTT